GTGCACAAATGCTAATCTTAGTATTCATTTAGATCAAGAAGCCTCAATATGAATCTAGACGCAATGATTTTTAGAACTCATAACAATGATAGTGGATGGAATGCTTTTTGTAACTTTAATTAAAGTTAGCTATATTTTATTTTGAAGAAGTGGAATAGGTAAAGTATAAAATACAATCGCAGGGAAAGTGGGAAACATACCAAATAGATTAAACGATTGCAAAATGTATTTAACGTATACTTGCATCTTTAAATTATTATATTATTACTTGCCATAAACATATGATGGTGCAAAATGGACCCCGGTGAAGGCATACATGTAAAGGGGTGTCACTTCCACACCATGTGCATGAGCATGAGGGAGGAGTTTATTTAATATCAACCTTTTTTGAACGGCACTATATATTAACAAGCTAGCTAAAAAGTAGCAAAAACAGTTACAAGGTTGAATTGGATGTTGAACCCACATATTTCAATGCTTTAGTGTTTTAACTAAAAGAAACCACAACAATATTATCAAATAAAAACTGCTTCCAATACTTGTTGCTGCAAAAAATCATGATATTTCGATACGACCAATGCACCCAAATTAAGGAAGAAAAAAATCAAATCGAGCTTGATCCTCTCCGAACGCCTCGAAGATCTCCATAAGCCCAATGAAACAAATACATCACCGAATCAAAAGAAGGCAAGTATATCGACCCATAAGGCAACTCTCTTCCACGCATCAATTGCTACTTAACATTTGAAAAACTAATGAGAATTGTCTTCCGTTTCTAAACCACAAATCGGACAAAGAATCGTATCCAAATCAATACCTCTCAAGTCAACATTAGACCTCATCGGAAACTGATCAAGCAAGACCCGCCACATAAAAACATCAACCTTAATAGTAATGAACTTATTCCACCTAGTTATAAAGTTACCAACTAAAAGACGAAAGTATGACAACGAACTAACTGAATTGAAAAAAAAAACTCTCGTCGAATCAAGCTCTCACCTCCATGCGTTAGGTCTAGAATGAAGAATAATCGAATCTAACACCTCTAAAGGGCTCGAGAATTGAGTTGCCACAACACCTCCACACATATAGGACGCCGCCAAGAAAAAGACCACTCATTTTAGACCCTGAATTCAAAAGCAGAACCATCCTTCAACGAAGAGAGAGCAAAAAGACAATCAAAACATAACCTAAAAGACGTAGGGCCCCACCAAGTATCGAGCCAAATTCTAATATTAACCTTTTATAATCATAAAAATTGGTCATTGTGGTTCGTTATTCTCTTTAGTTTTGGTTTTTGTTTTAAAAGATAACTATTTTCAATTTTTGTTTTAATTTTGGTCCTTAGTGTAACACTCGATTCCAGGTACTACTTCTTTGGTCCCTTAAGTTTGAGAATTTTGGCAAAATTGGTCCTTCGTACACTGGGCGTACGTTTGGTACACTTAGCGTACGAGATCGCTTTGGTCTCGGGGGGTTTAACCACGTACGCTAGGCGTACGTGGTGTGTGCGGAGCGTACGGCTACTTGGGTCAAACCCTAACTTTTAGGGTTTGAACCTTATTTAAACATCATTATAGCCTTTGGACCTCTACCCTCATCAGCCTCCATTGTTCAGTTCGTTCCATTAAAACCCTAATTCATCCTTTGAGTGTTCTTGAGCTTTGAAAGTAATTTTGGGGCATTTTTGTGTGTATTTAAGAAGAAGGAGCTTGGAGACCAAGCATTTGTTGAGGTTGAGCTTTTAGATCCAGAGTCTTCATCAACTTTAGGAGCTAGAGAATGTATAAAGTTCCTACCTTGATGATTCATTTTGATAGTTAGATATTAGGGTTTGTTTGTGAGATTAATTTGGTCCCATGGGTTCTCCTTGTGATTTTAAGCAACTCCAGGAGTTAGATATGTTAGATCTCAGCCTCTTTGTTGTTCTTGATGCATAAAAATGTCATCTTGATGGTTGTTATTGGCCAATTCAAGAGTTTGAGTTCTTATTATGAGTATTGTTCGAAAAAAATGGATGTTGGGTTTCATTGTATGACATGCTAAGGGTTAAAGTTCCTAACTTTATGTATTAGAAACCTAAAGTGGATGAGATCTGAAAGATGGACCTTATGGTTGAATGGATTAAGCATTAAATGGCTTAGGGTGGCAAGCAGCCTAGTACGTTGGGCGTACCAAGTGGTACACTGTGCATACTTGTGGTCGTGTACGCCAAGCGTACAATGCATACGCCGAGCGTACACCTCGTAATGGCTCTTTGTGGGCTTTTGGACCTTGGTTGGGCTTTAGACTTTTGGGATGTAGTTAGGTTTTAGGCCTTGGCCTATTTAACGTATGAGTGGGCCTCAAGATTTTGTTAGCGGGCCTTAAGTTGTATGAGTTGGGCCTTTATGGGCCTTGCGGTAATTATTGTGTTATTGGACCAAGTTTGTTTAGGCCCATTATGGGAAGGGTAATATGGCTTTTTATCCTAGGAGTTTGGGTTTGGGATTCTAGACGTATGGTTATGGTTTATAACCCAATTTTGATTAGGATTATTTGTTTGTGTTTAGTGTGGGATCTTTCGGTTCTGTAGCCGAGCATCTAGTTATTTATCAGCGGACTGAGGTGAGTTCTGTCATTGTAAGACTATGATTTGGCCCATAACACTAACTTATTTATGTATTGTGCTTTGGGGAAACTCACTAAACTTTTGCTTACACTTATTATTTATGGTTTCAGGTTACTTACGGTACTAAAGGGAAGAGCCCGACATGATGGTACAACATTCTCCCCTCACTGTTTTCCGCTCTTTTTGATATTGTTACTCTGATAATTTGACATTGTTACTATGTGATGGTTTTGGAACAATTTGATGACTGTAACTCTTGTTTAAAAATGAAAGAATGTTATCATGGTCTTGGTTTGTTACACTTAGTTGTAAAAAAAAAAAAAACTAGTTGTTAATTTTTTTTAAATGACCAATTTCCCAACATTAATTTTTGTTCAAATTGATTATAGGGTTTCTTGAGAATAGAGGAGAGGATAAAAAACAAACAAACCAATATTTTTTCAATTTTTAACTCCAAAAGATAAACACATAACAAATTTATCATTTGTATACATGTTTCTATAAGGTCTACATCCATCATATATATGAGTCCTAACTGCTTAGTCATCATTCCATACAAACGAGACTTGCATAAATTAAATGACTTGTGGCCGGTTAATTCTAATATTTTGATCAGTTGGAGTTTTGTTATGCGTTGTGAATAAGACGACATACAATGAGCGTGTTTGACATGGTGCTTTTGGAAGCGTTTGGAAGCTTTTAGCTTTAGTTTTTGATAAAACGCTATAGTTTAAACAAAAAGGTTCGTTTGGCAGTGCAAGCGTTTAACTTTTAGATCAATATCCCAACCTTTTATGGACAATGGCAAATTTGGAAGTCCAGAAAAGTTTTCTTTACGCAAGAGAAAGGCTGAGTCTAATGTATGAATCTGAAAAGATAGGAGAGTACTTTAGTATCATGTTTTATGATCGTCTCATTGATTATGAAACCATATCACAATTAATCCTCTAAATAAATCTTAGTGCACTAGTATGACTAAAAAGAGGAATTAGGAATTGTTGATTAAATCAAAAAAGGATGAGTCATACTTCGTTCTAGGATTATCATAATGTTGAAAACAATATCGAAGCATAATTCTCATGGAACAACTATACAAAGCATAATTCTCTCCTATTGAAATTTGACACACGAGAATAGTTCCAGGATTATCATAATGTTGAAGACAATATCGATCATCAGATGTATTTTGATCTGTGGAAGCATTCGAGGTGTTTGAAGAATTGGAATTAGACATGACAAAAAGAAATTCAATTGACAATCCGGAAAAAAGAAAAAAAGAGATTCAAAAGAAAAGATCAACAATAGAAAATTGGAAGCCAAAAACATTGCTATGATACCATATTACATAGGAAGAAATGAAAGGAAGAAAGAAATAGAGATGAAAGTATTATTCTCATTACTGAATCAATACCATCTGCAAAACATATATACATATACATAAACTACACAGCTGATGCTAACCTGCACCTAACAACCAAATTAACTTCTAACAATTAAACGACATAGCTTGACTAATCAAATGTAACTAACATAAGTTCCAGAAATATATACATATATGGATATACCCCCATACCAAGTGTAGTAATGTACTAATGTTGAAGTCTCATTGTCTTCTCCAATCTCCAATATTTTGCCTTCAGTTTTCTTTTTTCTTTATTCAAGAGTCTTCATAAAAAAAATTACCAGGTTAGGGGATTATAACTACACCCAGCAGAAGGGACAACATCGAATCTTCAATAATAAAAAATGCCATACCTTTTTGTATCAGTTATCTGTTATCAGATTGCTTAAAAAAAAACTGAATTATCTTCATTGTAAATGGCAAATCTTTATTTGTCTGAATGTAAATCCACTTGTAGTGTCTCCCAAACCTTCTTTTAGGGTTTAATACATCATCAGGCTTCCCATCAAACCCAATGAAACTAATTCTCACTCCAAATAATCAAACCTGTAATTATATTTTATAAAAATAATCATGATAATAAGCCATCACCCTAACATATTAAGATAAGGGAAAATTGCAAAAATTAGCGACATAACTTACTCTTCCTACCAGGTTAGGCAATGTACTTTAAATTCTGTATAGATGATAAGTATATTGCTATTATGGGTCATAAATAAAATACACAATATAAGTTTTATATTACATATTGGTAAAAGAATGCAAGTGCATCACTATTAAGAGTAAAAAAAATGTAAGTTTGTTGCTTTTTTGGGTAAAAAAACTAAAGTACATTGCTATTTCCTGAAATATGCCCAAAAGATTAACATCATGTAAATCGTTTAAAATGAAAAAAAAGAATGAATGGTTTGGATGTTGTATAGAAAAACAAAAATCATAGTCCCAAAATTGTTCATTTTTAAAAGTGCAGTGTTCTTTTCATTATTTCACAATAAATGATTCATTCGTTTGCAAATGATGATTTTCTTTAAATGGAGTAAATGACCATTTTACCCTTCTGTATAGCATTAAGTATGTAATAATTGACTGTCTATTGTGTATATTTATAAAAATGTGAATTCTACTATGAAAACGGTTAATGACCATTTTGCCCTTGAGAGCGGCAGCCATGGAAAAGAAGACAAGGGGAAACGGTCCATGACAAACATGCAGCAACAACTGGACGAAAAGCATAACTTTTGACAAACCACAGGGGGGGAGTTGTAAATTCTTTCTTTCCAATATTATTATCTGCAAGAGTATTATAATAAGAGTAAGCTACAATCTCAAATAAATATAGCTCTCTCTAATTAGCCAATACGGAAAAAGATGGGCTAAATGCAAGAATTAGCAAAATCTACTTTCAGTTATTAAGTTATATGTATAAAATCATATTACATCACTAAACCTTCAATTTTCTTATTAAGGCATTGTACTCTGAAAACTCTATTTAACTAATTATAGATTTTTAATTTCAATTTTTTTTTTTTTTGTATGAGGACGTTAATTATATACTTTTGACAATTGTGCTTTGTATTTGGATGATGTTGCTATCATTAGGTAGACTTTTCAACAAAAGTACATAGCTACTTCTTGTGTTTTACCCTAATAAAATACCACAATCACAGTCCACATATATAGCTTTTTGGGTATAATTCCCCCCATTTTACACTACTTGAAAAGCTATGGTATTTTTCATTGTATAGTAACATATTTCTACTATCACTCATAAATATCATTTATGATTTTTCAAAGCCTAACATTTTTATATAAATGCCCATCATTTTTTTTTTAATTTTACCTTATTACTCCACAAACCCGAGTATGAGTCTGTTTAAAAATTTTGTTTACTTTAACTCAACCAACAAGTAGGCTATATTATTATTATATAGTATATACCAAGTAAATACATTTTAATTGCCAAAGAAAATACCATAAAAACATATTAGTTAATATACTTAATCACTTAAATTACGCATGCTATTATTTTTCCGTTTTTTATATAAAGAAAAACCAAACTGAATCTGAAAAATCAGTCTTTTTAAAAGTAAAATCAGTCTTTTTTAAAAGTAACACCCCTCCTAAATCCCAGTCCAGTTTTTGGCAATATAATTTTCTTTTAATTAATAATAAGAACTATTTTTCCCTATCTGCTCGATCAGCTTGACTTCCAGCAAACCTTTCCCTCAACAACTCCACCTCTTCATCTCTCTGCACAAGAATCAAACATATGCAAAAACAATATGCTTCCTCATCTATATTTTTCAATAATTATAAATATACATATTTATATTTATTTACCAGTTCTTTAAATAATGGCACAGGAGTCCCAATTCTATGGCCAGAAGGTATCATCTCCCATGGTCTTTTGGCCTTCTCTACATCTCCTTTCTCATCACAGAGAGAAACTTGGTGGGGGAAAGAAAGCTGCTTCAGTACCTGTAGCAGACAAATTGGAAGGATGTTTGTAAGGGTAAGAATGTAATTTTCCATTCCAAAAAAAAAAGGGTAAATAACTTGCCTGGGTGGAAAATGATGGCATAAAAGGCTCTAACAGGCAAGCAAGAAGATAAACTACTCCCACTGAAGTTTTCATGACTATGGAACATGAAGGTAGATCTTCTCTGTAAAGCCTCCAGAATTTACTTTCCTACATCAAGTTAATAAATAAACCCATTCTCATGCATGCTTAACCAATGTCTGAACTACAATTTATCTGGTACGATGGAATGGAATCACAACAATGTAACGGAATGGATTGTTACATTCCATTACCATGTTTGGTTGTCCCTTTTTTTTTTTTTTTTGTAGACTTACTTGTAGATACACGTTGCCCTCACCAGATATACTCATTGCAATTTTCAATCCTTGCTTTAGCTTAACCTAAATGTCAATTTGTAAAATACATACATATTCCAATGAAGAGTCATTTCAGAATATCTAGAATGTTCTTGTAATCAAGAATTACCTTCTCCATGGCCTCAACATATTGTTCAACATAAGTACCAATTTTGTCTCCTAGTGTCTTTGATAACAGATGTTTCTCAGCACCTGGAGCATCAGGAATTATGGAATTGTATCCTGAACCTCTTCCAGCTCTTGAATCTGTCAATGGAATTGTAGCAGGATACTTTTCAGATTGAATTAAAAATAATAAAAACACCAATAATCTTCAACATGATATGAAAATATTCCTTATGTACATTAATAACTTCATACCAGTTTAAAGTAAAAAGGTTAAGATAGTAGTGCAAGAAAAGAAAGGGTAGTCTGCTATTACACAGCTCTAGAACCTAGCATTTAGGGTTTAGGGCATGAATTGAAAAAAAGAAAAGTAGAAAATAATAAACTGCAAACTCGAATTCTTGATCCCATTAATTAATTTAGGTTAAACTGGGGTTAATTACTAACCTGGATCTTTAGCAATGAAGCTCAAGACACGGTTAATGAAATTGCCTAAGTTATTTAGCAACTCGGTGTTGAGTTTTGCTTGAAGATCTGTCCATGTGAATAATGTGTCTGATACCTAATAATGAATGAAAGAGAACAAAAGAAGGAAAAAAGAAAAAGTGAGAGATTACATTTTTAATGATAGACACTAAATAAAAGTTATACCTCAGGTCTATTAGTTAGCAGATAGTATCGCCACACTTCTACTGGAATATTTGTATCCTGTGCATCATTACCAAAGACTCCTACACCCTTGCTCTTTGAAAACTTACCTACACATGATACCCCAAAACTTAAAAAGAAAAAAGAAAAAAGAAAAAAGAAAAAATGGGATTTAAAATGTTTCATTATGAATAGCATAGCTTGTGGGGTTGAATAATGAATAGAAGCATAGAACAAACCTCCTTCATAGTTTAGATACTCTGTAACACTGATAGTCTTCATCAAAGTCCAGTTCTCAGAAGTTCCAAGAAGTGTACAAGGGAACATTACCTGAAAGAATTGTTTTCAAACTTAATGAGGAAAAAAATATCTACGATATACATCATCATAAGATTTAAAAGCTTGAAGAAAAAGCACTTACAGTATGAAAGGGTACATTATCTTTTCCCATAAACTGATACAACTCCACATTTTCAGGATTCTTCCACCACTTCTCCCACTCAGGTGTGTAACATGAAGTGATTGAGACATACCCAATTGGTGCATCAAACCAAACATAGAAAACCTAAACATTACACACAGTAGAACAATTTGTAAAACTATACGCTTCTATGTGAGACATAAGATGGAGTTTTCATTTTGACTTTATAATAGAGAGAGAGAGAGAGAGAGAGAGAGAGAGAACGAGAGAAAGAACTCATTTCACTCACTTTGTCATTGAATCTCTCATGAGGAACAGGAACCCCCCACTTCAAATCTCTAGTAATACATCGTTGCTTTAATCCTGTTTTAAGCCATGCATTTGTTGCTTGAATAGCATTCTGACTCCATGATCCAGACACTGACATTTTTTTTATGTACTCTTCAAGTTTACCCTCCAACAATGGAAGCTCAAGAAACAAGTGATTTGTGTCACGGATACAAGGACTGGATACACAGACCTATTTGCAGACCAAATTTGGAGTCATAAAAAGCAAAATATGTACAAAAGGATGAGGATGCATACATTTTGTTTTGATTTATTCACTACATGAAACTTAGCACTTGTTTTCTTGTTCATATAACGGAGCAATTTACCTTGCATCTTGGATTAATGAGTTCTGTTGGATTCAACAGTTTACTGCAACTTTCACATTGATCTCCTCGGGCAGAGTCATAATTGCATGTTTTGTTCGGGCAGGTACCTTCAACAAGTCGGTCAGCTAAAAATTTCTGACATGTATCGCAGTAAAGCTGCAGTGTAAAATATATACATAACTTAGTATATATAATATATCTCCACATTATAGAACAAAAAATATTGCAGAAAGATTGCCAGGGTTTCTATCAGTTTGGAACAAGTTGAATACAAACAAAAATGTATGTGTATACCTGCTGCATTGTGTTCTCAGAAAGGAATTTGTTCTCCATTAACTTTTTAAAGATTGTTTGACAAACTTCGGTTTGTTGTGGGGTTGAAGTTCGTCCAAATTCATCAAAACTTATGTTAAACCAATTATAGACATCCCTGTGAATCGTATGATATCTAGAAAGGAAAATAAAACGATAAGAAGAAGAATCGATGTTTTTATAGTAGAACTAGAATTTTAGAATCCAAAACCAACTGTTCGTCACAAAACCTTGTAACGTTACATTCAAACTGAGATCGTTTCGTGAAAATTGATTACAAAATTCAGATAACACGAAACATAGAAACGTAATTACCTATCGCATATTTCTTTGGGGGTGCAATTTTCTTGTAAAGCTTTGGTCTCAGTTGCTGTTCCATATTCATCAGTTCCGCAAATGTATATAGCGTTATACCCCCTCAGTCGACAATACCGAGCAAACACATCGGCACTCAACACACCTAGGTATTAACAAGAAATGCAATTGACAAATAAGTATTAAGCGATCATAATTTTACAGTTAAACAGCCGACACCTGCAACTGTACTTACAGCCGATGATATTGCCAAGGTGAGGAACGTTGTTGACGTAAGGAAGAGCACTGGTAATTAGTATGTTTCGTTTGCCGGGAATCGGAAGCTTCGGTACCTCGCCGTCGCCGGCCAATATATCCCCCATCGTATAGAGAATAAAGAAATCGATTATAGATTCAAAGCGGGAAGAATGGCCAACAGTTTCATTATTTTATTGAGGACTTAAATAGAAATCTAAACTTTAGGAGCAAGCAAGTTTAAAAAGGAAGATAATCATAAGACAAATCGGCCCTTATCGTTTCGTAACCGTAGATCTAAAAAAATATGTAACTTAGGGTGTTTGAGAACACAAATTAAATATCTTCCTACCATTTATTCATATTTTTCTTCGATACATTTCATTAGACGTTTAATAAAATTAATAATCATTTAATCTACTTGTCAACATTTGATATGGTAGAACGAAAAATAGGAACAAATGATAGGAAGATATTTAATTTCTCTTTTGAGAAACTAAAATTACTTTTTAAGAAAATATAAAAGTAAAAAAAGTTTAGTAAAAGCATTTTTAAAAGTTAATTTTGGATTTTGAATATAAGGAAAATGAATTTTTTGGAAAAATCAGAAAACCTAGTTTTTTGTAATTTTTTCAAAAAGGACTTTTGATCTTTTAAAAAATAAGTCAAACATGCCCGAAATGTTTAAAATTTAAATTAAAAAAAAAATTGTAGTTTTATCCAAAAATTAAGAAATTTTTATGGTCTTGGCTCCGAAAAATCCAAAAAAATGATTTTGACCTTTTAATTTTTTTCTATTTATTTTGAGAAATTAAAAATTCAACTAGATTTTATTCTTATTATCCTCCTACCCACATTAAGGTGTTCTTTGTTTTTTCTAAGTCAAAATGTTTGCAGTCTGCAGATCACATCTGTAAACATCTGCAGTATAAGAGGTGGACCAAACGTCTGCAGTCTGAAAAAATAAGATTGTTTTTTTTTTACATCTGCAGGCTACTAAAATAAACTAAAATCTAAATAAACTGATTTTTTTAAACTACAAAGTGATTTTTTTAATATATTTATGACTTTGTTATAAATAATTAACAAATCTAAATCAACTTTTATGTATTATTGTATAAAAAAAGTGAAAATAAAAATGGTATAAATTAACGTATATATTTGATAAAAACTAACAATTTTTGTCACAAAGTTATACCTAAACTTTGTAATTAGAAATCAAAGAATTTGATACATAAATGGATTGAAATAAACTTCGATTTTTTCAATTAAATCAATTAAAAAAGCGCCATAAATATTTTTCAAATAAATGGATTGCAGACATTAAGTCTGCACAGTTGACTAGCTTCTGCCCTGAGGGGTCGAAGGTGAGATTTGCATCAAGATGTTTGAGGGATCGAGCTAGGGATTGGTGGGAGTCTGTTGGTGACTCGTTGGGAGCCTTAGCTGTCGAGGCTATGACCTAGCCGGACTTCGTGACCAGGTTCAGGGCAGAGTTTGCACTAGCTGTCGAGCTTCAGCAGCTGGCCAGGGAGTTTTTAGATATGAGGCAGACGGCGGAGATCACCGCCAAGTTCCGGGAGAGGGTGTTGTTGGTGCCCCAGTACGCGGGTGATGAGGATATGAGGAGGACCCGCTATCATGACATGTTACGAGCTGATATTCGGGAGCATGTCAGTTTTTCAGCTTGCCCTACCCTGGACTCTATGATTGCTAGGGCAAGGGAGAGGGAGATAGATCCGGAGCACATCCAGAAGAGGAAGAAGGAAGAGGGTCATGTTATGGGGGCTTCGGGGAAGAAGCCCAAGGGACCAGATGCGGGGCCGCTGCAAAAAATGCGGCAAGGCGCACAAGGGAGCTTGCAAGTTGGGATCGTCAGGCTGCTATAAGTGCGGGAAGTCAGGGCACTTCAGCAGGGATTGTACCGCCCCTGCGCCTGTGATACAAACTTCTGAGTTGCTATGTTTCCATTGCAACTAGAGGGGCCACAAGAGGGCCAGTTGCCCCCAGTTGACAGCAACATCAAAGCCAGTAAAGGCGCCAACTCCAGCGACCCTGCGGATCACGGATGGCCGGCAGGGCAAGGTAGAGGCTCCAGTGGTGAGGAGCCGGGAGTTTCAGCTATCTACCGAGGAGGCACGCGCCGCACCCGATGTGGTGATGGGTATGGTTCTTTTCCCTCTATTTTATTTATATGATGTTATGATATTGATGTGTTCTCTGTGTATATACATTAGGATCGTTCCATATGAACGGTATTCCAGTTCAGGTATTGTTTAACTCGGGTGCCACCCGATCGTTTGTTTCTCTTGTGCTTAGCAAGAAGTTTTCTAAGTATTCGAGCGTGTTGGATTTCCCTCTAGAGGTAAAGATTGTCGATGATCGATCAGTACAAGCATCAACAGTGTTCATGGATTGTGTTCTAAGGTTGTTGGAGGAGTGCTTTTTGGTGGACTTGGTTCCCATTCCGTTGCGTGGGAACAAGGTGATCATAGGCATGGATTAGTTAAGCCCTAATGGGGCATTGATAGATTGCGTACAACAACTGGTGTGGATCAGGACCCCAAGTGGGGGAGAGTTGGTGATCCACAGCGAGAGGCCACAGCGTGGACCCACAGTATGTTCAGCAGCGAGAGCTAGGCACTACCTTCAGCAGGGTTGCGCGGGATATGTCGTGTATGTTATGGATACCCGGGAGGCGGGTAGGGTGACGGTGAGCGAGGTTCCAGTGGTACGAGACTACGCAGATGTGTTCCCATAGGAGCTTCCTGGGATACCTCCAGAGCGTCAGGTAGAGTTCAGGATCGACCTAGGACCTGGTGTGGCTCCGATAGCCAAGGCACCATACCGGTTGGCTCCTCCCGAGATGCAGGAGTTGTCTATGCAATTGTAGGAGCTGCTAGACAAGGGCTTTATTGTCACACCCCAAAACCAAGAACGGCAGAAACGTTCTGGGGTGGAGGACGTCATGTAAAGTATCACAACACAGTATAACAGTAAATAAGCAAACAACATCATCCATTGCATTAAATATATAATTTTAATACAAGTGTGTTCTTTACAGTTATAGACACCAAAAATAATGTAAATCAAAATAATAAGATGAGTCTTGGATGCGCTCCATCTTCTCAAAAGTTGGCCTCGGTACCTCTCTACTGATGACCTGAGAATATAAGTTATCTTGAAAGAGTTTATCAGCATTAAGCTGGTGAGTTCATAAGTATTTTAGTGTCGGTATTTGTCATCCAAAAACGTTTGAACATGTCTCAAGTGTAAGTTTGTAAAATGTAAGTAAATGTTTGTAAGTGTTTGTACAAGTTTGAAATCTCTCAGAAAAACCTATATTTTCTATTAAAGTAGCCTTCTACCAAGGCTTAACTGTTTTGTATGCTCGTTTGTTGTAAAAGTGTGTAATTTCCCAAGCGTAACTATCATTTAACAAAATATAGTTTGTACATTAAAGTTTAAGTGAAACAATCACTAAAAGTATGTAATGGGTAAATTATTGTAGTACTGTAGTGTTGTATTATAGGAACTACTGTTGTACTAACTACCTTAAACCGGATTTATATTAAGGTATCATGTGATAAATTGCACCATACTATCGACTGGTAACAACGACATACGAATGGTCGTAATAACGGAATGACGTTTGGCACCCGCAGACCTGCAGGTCCGGCTGTAGCTAGCAGCAAGGTGTAGGATAGTCAATCCAGTATAGATCTATACGCAAACTCACGCTCTCCCTCCAAGAGAATTCTGGCTACAACTCGGGCCATGACAATTAAGGCATGCTCCGATACAGTGGATCACAATTGTTAACGTATTCTTGTATATGTAATGTAATGAACTGTTCTAGTATAGTTGTATATGTTCTTCCTCTAGTATAGTTGTATATGTTCTCTGTCTAGTATAGTTGTATATGTTCTCTGTCTAGTATAGTTGTATATGTTCTCTTTCTAGTATAGTTGTATAAGTACTCGTAGTAATAAGTATTAACTCATGAATGAACTGACTCATTTATCTAGAAATTGTAGTAGTATGATCCTATGTTACCCCGATGGTAACTTACTGATGATGTACTGATAAGTATGAATATGGAAGTACTTTTATGTCTATACATGTATATTTGATATATAATTAATATTGAAACGACCTTCGGACGACTACCCGAAATCCCACCAGACCACATCTCAAGCGCGAAAAGGAAATAGGGTGGATGGCCTTCCTAAGCCCTTTAAACATTTCTTATATATCTATACATATATGGGCATGCAATTTATAAGAAGTAAAACAAAGTTTAATAAAAGCATTTGATAAGTAAAAGAGTTTGTAAAACATTTTGAAGTAAAACAGTTTGATAAACAGTTTGAACAGTGATAAAATCATTGGTTTTCTAGTTATTAATCGCATGTGATTAATGTAATCACATGTGATTGATGTAATAACTATAAGTATTTAACTTGTATCCCCCCATAAAGTATTTAAAACATTTAAAAGCATTTCAAAGGTTAATTAAAGGGGTATGAACTCACTTGTGGTGAGTGGATTGGATTGAAGTATCGGTACCGTGCTAGGTGGCAAACGGAGACTTGTTCACACGCACGAGCCTAGTTATCATATAATGAGCATATATATAACTAATTAGCCCAATAATAACTTAATAAAATAAGTTGGGACACTCAGGAACATGTAAACACTTTGTATAAGTGTTATAGGTCCTAAGGGTTGCTTCTAGGTTGTTATGGGACAAGGCTAAAGGGGTTTAAAGCTTCCAAGGACCTTGTATAAGTGTTTACTACTCAATAAACTCCACACAAGGAGTTTACGGTTGTGAACCCTTGAGTTTACGGCCGTGAACTCTAATCTTGGTGGTTTTTGGTGTTTTGAAGTGTTAAATGATCTCTAGAATAAGCCTAGCTTGGTGGTTCAATCCTTTGGGTAGTTTAGGGCCTTAAAATACTCCTTTGAGGAGTTTACGGCCAAAAGACCATTTCTTTTGGAGTTTACAACCGTAAACTCTCAAGGGATGGGTGTTTTAATTCTTTCAAGTCCCTTGCACAAGTAGGATAACTTCTAGGCTTTTGTTTAAGTCTAAAAAGGACCCTAGGCACACTTTGGTGCCCTTACTTGGTGTTTACGGCCCAAGAGTTGTTCCTTGGCCGTAAACTCCCTTTTAGGGGTGTTCTTGATGTTTAAGAGTCCATAGATTAGCTAGGATTAAATGGGTATTAAAGTCTAAAGCCTTAGGAGTGATTAAGGCATGTTATGTCCCTTGAATTTGGAGTTTACGGCCTAAGACTTTCTTGGGCCG